ATAAACTTAAACTTCGCCATAGTATTTTATTAGAATTCGTAATTTCGCGTTAGAAATCATCACGCGTGCTCATCCCGAAACCTCAGGAGCAGCGCTACCTGAGAGCACATACTGTACGCCCTACTTTCACTGTCTGTACACTGCCTTCCTCTCATTCTTCCCTATGGGAAGCAATCATTTTGCAATTATATGCCAATAAATTAAAAGAAAATACCCCTGGAATTAAAAGATTTCTCTTCTTGTAAGTGAGGTAAATGAGGTCTTTGTTAAGCAAATATTGTTGATTTATAATTTTGCATCTCAAGGGAGATTTAAAAAAAAAAAATAAATAAATAAATAAATAAATAAAAACTCGGGCTCCGTTTTAAAGGGTGGTTTTAAAGTACATTTCCATAATTCCATAGTTTTTAAACACTCTATCAGACCAATAATGTATTTAAGTCTAAATGCAAGCTAAATAATAATTTTAAAAAACTGTTATTTTATTATATATATATATATATATATACACACACACACACACACACACACACACACACACAGGTATAGGGATATTGCTATGCCTTTTCTATTTAATACCATCCTAACAAAATTAAACAAAATGTAAGATAAAGTGATAAAAGAAAATAACTTAAGACTTGTTAGCATAATATTAAATAAAATATACAACTAAAATGTTAAAAATACTAAAAAAATAACTAAAATCTAAAGAAAGAAAAGCAAAATAGTTAACTTTTATTTATAATCTAGATGTGTTTAGAAAGATGTATGCTATATAACATGGAAGGACAACTAGGAATGTTATCTTGGGCCCATCCATAACATTTGTCCTGATTACATAATTTTAAGCAATGGTCCTGGATATATGAAGTTTCAGACATGAAATAACAATTTATCAAAATTGTGCACTATTTTACAGAATGGAAAATCTCAGTCTCATTCTTTCGAAAAAAATCTCTTTCTTTGAGCGGGGACAGCTCGAGTCAAGTTGGATGTCAGTAAACAAGGTTTGAATAATGTTTATGATGTCTGCTGTGGCGAGACGGTCTGCCAGAACATACAGACCCCTAATTGCACGCTACAGTAATAGTGATCTACAAAAATTCTATTTTAGAATTTAAAAACAGGGTTTGAAGAAGCACCCACACTGAGCTCCACCCGTTCATTCACTTCCTGTGGTGACGTTTTGGGCAGAGCTTCCATTCATAGAGATGTTTTCTTTCCAGGCATTCACAGTATTGCCCATTTTCACACTGACAGTGGCATGAGTATGAAACACACTGCCGTATTTTCCGGCGGGATGTCTGTAGCAGTAGGAGGCAGATGAGAGTGGTAGGTGTCGGCTAAATCAATTTGTCCATAATAATCCTAAATACAAACACGCATGCACAGACATTAAAGGAAGAGTTCAACCAAAAATTAAAAATTGCTGACAATTTACTCACCCCTCAGGTCATCCAAAATGTAGACGAGTTTGTTTCTTCATCATATTTGGAGAAATTCAACATTACATCAGTTACTCTGCAGTGAATGGGTGCCGTCAGAATGAGAGTCCAAAAAGCTGATAAAAACATCACAATAATCCACAAGTAATCAATACAACTCCAGTCTATCAGTCTATCAGAAACAAATCCATCAAGATGTTTTAAACCAACATATTTGTTTAGAACCGTCTTGGACTGTTTTTGCTTGTAAATAGTGCTTGATCTGTGCATATTTCTCTCCTGATTCAGACAAGACAACTTTTACTGGAGAAAGCAATATAGATAGAGGACTCGCATTAGCCAGAAGCATTGGTTTTAAGTTAAAAAGCATCTTAACGATGAGTCGTGGATTATTGTGATTTTTTTTATCAGGTGTTTGGACTCAGACTGCAGAGAATCCATTGGAGAGCAAGTGATGTAATGCTGAATTTCTCCAAATCTATTGTATTAAAGCAACAAACTCATCTTGGATGGTCTGAGGGTGACTAAATTGTCAGCAAATGTAACTTTTTGAGTGAACTATTCCTTTAGTAGACATGGATGCAACCATCTTAAGTGCATCAGATGTTGATAATTAAGTCTATCTCATGAGTCAGGTCTGATGAAAGCTGCTATTCCCACATCTCTGAATGTACTCAACTATCTCACCTCATTTCACAGCCTATAATAACCACAATGATGACTTAAATGACACCAACAGAAGAACATCAGCTACATATATATGCACAAAAACTCAAGCGTTCTGCAATAAGTGACCACATGGAGCAAAGTGAATCTTGAGTCAGGCATACAAATTGGCAGTTAGCTGTGAATGGAAGGGGTCTGCTTACAAAAACGTCTCGTGATACCAAAGTGCAAAATTCCTGCAGAGATGCTGGTCATGGAGAAGGAGCTTTTCCAGAAGTGACTCTGACAGTGTGGTGTCGAAGGAGTTGGAAATAACAGGTCTATCTCTTGCTCCACTGATAATGAAATGGGCAAGCTTTTCCCTCCAGACAGCTCTTCCGCTTCTCTTGTAGAATCAAGCTCTTGTAGTCTGATACTGTCAAGAGCCTGTCTTGAACAGAAACCGATGATAAACAAAACATTTAAGTGCAGAAACAAGAAAGTCATTAGTTATTAATGTCATTGAGCCACTTGAGTATAATGCTGATTATTATTCTTTTAAAAAAGATCTGACTCAAAAAATCTCAAAAACCTGTCAAGAATACATCTGGGTCATATTTAAAAAGTAACATATAAGAAATTATATTTTGCTTATAGAAAACAAAGGTTATTTTACATCCATTGTAATTTTTTTATAAGCACACTTCCCCCCCCAATTCTCATCACCAAAAAAAACCCCCTATTTTTTCTATCAATATATTTTTATATATTGATGTATCAAAATTGCATTAGAGCAATAAGCATGATTTCTTTTTATTACAATAATGACAATTTGTTTAGAAAATGCCCTAATTAAAAAAACAACAACAAAAAGCTTAACAGCCCAAAAACCCAGTACTATTTTAATGCAATAAATAAATAATATATAAATAATATAAATTAAAAAAATGAAAATATATATACTCATTCATTATATTGTATAATGTGTGTGTGTGTATATATATATATATATATATATATATGAATACAAG